TTTCTTGCAACCCACCACTGTGACCTACGTGATCAACTATAACCTAAGTGATCCAATGTACATGCAGCTCCTAATTTCGACCTCGACGGTGTACATACATTATTACAACTCATGCAGCTCTCAACTTCAGTCCTTGTGGTTTACAGGCGTTATTGCAACTCACCACCACAACCTATACAACCAACTATGACCTATGCGATCTATGTTGCATCAATTTATGTCACATGTGTAGGGTACCCACATGGCTGGCTCAAGTTTACTCACTGTTGACTTGTAGTTTCTCGTAACTCGAGACACCCATCTGAGGCCTCTGGTACATGTTCAGCACGAAACCATAGCCCGCAATGATTCTACCCCACCCGGGAGAACCCACATTTGGACGAACTTATCCATGACATTGGACATGTTTAATATCCATTTTGGTGATTAGTGGTCCCTTTATATCCATTTGGAGCATCCTCAGGGCCAGGGGAAGTCACAAAGCCCTCCAACAATGTTACAGAAAAAATAGGGTTTGGACATCTTACCCGCGTTTGTATTTCAGAACGCCAGCTGCTTCCAACGAACGAGTATTACACTCATTTTTTAAGTTAGAGGATCATGACTTACTCATTGATGGTCTCCCGTAGCTTTTGGATTAAGAGAACCTCCACCTGATGTTTCTAACAAAAAAAAAATCTAGGCTAGACTGGCGCTTTGGCACAAGCCCCCGGGTGCCTGAACGCCCAAAATAGCCTTTAAGGTGCTTAAAACCTGAGGCCATGAAAGTCTGGTGCCTGATCCCGAAACTGCTTACATGCAACAGTATAACAATAATTCTGATTATATTTTTCACTTATATTTCTTTATTTCACAACAAAATCAAAAACTTGCTTGATCCTGAAGAAAAATATCCTGAAGAAAAATAAGAACTTAAATTTTAATTTATATATATTGGGATTCTACTCAAGTATACGTATCTTTATCAAATAATATAAGATTTTTTTATTAAGACCTGCATATTGAGGGAAGATGCAATATGCACTTTTTGAAAAACTTTCTATTTTTAAAAAGATAATTATTTAAACTAAAGAAGATTTCGCAGTAACGAAAGTTTAAATATTTTTGGTAATTTTAATATTTTGACAAAAATAGTACAAACTTAAAAAGATAACTTGAGTTTTTGTAGAAGAAAAGCACTGAATATGAAAATATATTTCGACTTATCATAAATCAGTAATAACCTTAATAGTGGTATCGAATCAGAACCTTAAAATACCTGGGGGCTAACATCTCCTATCAGAACCTTAATATTTTAACCCGGGTGGAGGGAATTGAGGGAACTCTAGAGTGAGAGCTATTATCTTCCTTGGCTAGCCGGTCTTCAGAACTATTCAAACTTTAAATTAGTCAATGTTCTTTATAGCATCTCTAGTAAGGGTAAAAAATATTATTGCTCTTATTTGACACAACACAATTTGCATACTTCCACAATAAAATTCCTATACTTATTACTGACTCGTGATAATGAGAAAGATATTTTCATATCAAATATTTTTCTTTTACATAAACTCAAGTTATTTGTAGAAGTTTTATTGTTTTTTCAAAATATCAAAAATACCAAAAAGAATTGAATTTTACCTACTGTGAAAATATCTATAGTTTAAATAATTATTTTTTTAAAATAGAATGTTTGTTGATAAACAGTGCATATTGCTTATTTTCTTTGTCGGTTCGATATTCAAGTCATAATCAAAAAGTCTTATATTACTTGATAACGATATGTATACTTGCGTAGTATCCCAATATATATATATATAATTAAAAAGTTAAATTTTTATTTTCTCCAAGATCAAGTTTTTTGTTCTGTTGCAAAGTAAGGAAACATAAGTGAAAAATATTATCAAAGATATTGTTATATTATTGCATATAAACAGTCGAGATCACCTACCGAACCGACTAATACCAATAGGAAGTTACAAAATGCAAAAAATTAATAACATGTCAAAATTTACCAATCATCTTTATAAATAGAAGTATATTATATTACATGATAAGTCATCTCTTTGCATATCTATGATGATTACATGACATATGATTAGTAGTTTATTCGAGCAGACCAACAACGCCTTATAATAGCTTGTAATTCTTAACAAAAAACACTTAGTGATGGATTCATAGTGTGACCGCGCACACCCACTAGTTGACAAGTTGTTTATTTTTTTTATAAGAAATAATAATTTATATATTTTTATGTTAGTTATGAAGCTATTTATAAAAAGAAAAAATTGATATAGTTCTAATGAGTGTGATTTTTATTAAAGTAAAAAATTAATAATGAATAATTTTCTTAGAAGATATATAGAAGTTTAGAAGTATTAAACTATATGATATGCAATTTTAATAATTAAAATATTAATAGTTTTCAAAATTAATTTATCAGAATATAACTATGATATATATCTACTTATGGTATGGTTTAAGATTATAAAATAATGTAGATATAAAAAATATATTATTTATATAAGTTAAGATTTATATTTTTGTGGTATCATACGAAATTTAATAAAATTATAATTAGAGCAATGATTTTGTATAAATTCTCATATTTGACAATGAAGGAGTCCATTATATTTTAGTTGTGTGTGATAGATGAAAAGATAATGACGAACATACTATTATGTAGATGTATTAAAGAATGAATATATTCGATGAATACTTGCAATGGATCTGTCAAAGATATATTAATTAAAATTAACATATATGATATGAAACATTCATCTAAGTTTAAAAAATATGTCATTTAAATTTAAGGATAAAATTAGTATGAGAAAATGGACAATAAAATAAGGCCGAACTAAGTTTAATTAAAGGAAAAAAAAAATTCAAAAAGCATAAAAAAAAATTATGTTTAAAAACCTTAAATTAAACATTCGATTGGTGTAAGAAAAAGTTAATTAAGATAAACAATCTTAAGCAATTGAGTTATTATTATTATTATTATCATCTTTAAGAAGTTGAAAATAATAAGATTTGTTTAAAATTTTTTGTATGTCACTTTTAATTGAGCACTTGTCTTTACATACATACATACATATATATATATATATATATATACATATATATATATATATACA